GTGTATGTGTATAGATATATATATATATATATATATATATATATATATATAATTGCGTCTCTATACATCTGTCAGTGAATTGTAATGTGCAGAACTGAATGATGATTTGGTGTCAGTGTCAGGAAATCATGCAGGTTTAATGTGCTGATAAACAGGTGTATCAAGGTGTTGAACTGGAAACGCCTCCCTCAGGACTTGAGAGAGAGTTTCACACTCTGTTTAACTCTGATGCTCTGCAATTTCTGTCTGAACTCATCTCTACCTTCCAAGCAGAGGTTGACAAGGTACCTCTTCAATTTATAGTTTCTAATAGAATTGAACCCAATAATGCATATTAAGGAAACCCCAATTACTTATTTATGCTACTCATAACAATGTTTGCTTGTTTATTTTTTGGATGAGCCTTCATCAAAAGATGTCTTTACTCTTTTGCAAGGTTTTGAATTTTCGAGTCCTCCGGAAAGTTCAGTTGGATCTGACTAGAGAGTTGCCAGGCTTTCTGAAGGACACAGCTCATATCCGAAATGATCCCAGCTGGAGAGTGAGCCCAGTTCCAGACCGATTACACTGCAGACATGTGGACGTTGGTGACCTTTCACCCTGTGATACACAACGTCTTATAATGGGACTCAAATCTACTGCCCAAGGTTTACAGGTAGGACTTAGTCATGCAAATAAGATGACACTGAAGTTAGAACAGAAATGCAAATATATATTGTATACTAAACTGCACTGAATACAGAAAATATTGTATTTTTGTGTATACAGTGGCATCCAAGAATTTGAAACTGAAAAAGCTGAATTCCTGGCTGTACCTGCATTATTGTTCTGTTCTGTTGTAGATTGATTTTGATGATGGCAACTGCCCAACATACCGCAATCAAATAAAGGGTATTTATAATGTTTATCAGGCTGTGCACAACCAGTTTCAGGGTGAGTCTTGAGTCTAACTCCTGCTATTTGTTTGGTCAGAAATGTAGTGAATTAAATATTCTTTAACAAAAGAATCCCATCAGAGATGTATGGAAAGCATGTGTTAACAATCTGTCATATTTCTCTTAAACAGATGTACCACCCATTTCTCAGGCTCCAGTGCTGATGCTTCGTCCTCGAGCATGGAACATGGTGGAGCACAACATGATGGTATGGATCTGTAGTGAGCTTGTTTAATGGCACAGATGAGAATATTGGTGTCTTTGTTTGTTTGTCCAAACCATGTGTTTGAAATTGATTTAGTTTCACATTTCACCTTATAATGAGTTAATGATATGTTGTAAGGTTTTAAAATTGTAATCACTTATAACCACTCCTTTAGAAAAGACAATTGGATTTTTTAACATTTCAGCTGTTTCTCCTAGACAACATTAAAGGCACAATATGTAAGATTTTGTTATTAAAATATCCAAAAACCACTAGAACAGTTTTATATATTTTGCTGACTTGTGTACTTACATTATCCCAAATGTTTCGAAAAATGTTTAAATCCAGAGAAATAAGCAATTTTAACTAGTGACACGGACCGTGTCTATAGTGTCATTGTGTTGCCTGCCAATGACGTCATACACCCTCGATTTCCGGTTTTGTTTTGTAGAAAACATGAAACACCAAAGACGCTTTAATATGCTATGCATTTTATTAGACGGGTGACGACCGCACAGAGTAGCATTATAACAGAACGTTCAAATGTATCTAGTATGATAAAACAGCGCTGCTTACTTCCGCTGCTTTCCAGAAGGAGCAGAAGCGGTCGACTGTGGCATAATAAAAGCTCTGCTGCTTTCGAGCCGTGTGTCGCGCTCGTTCAGCGGCCTCGTTTTGCTTTGACGGCTTTCCGCCTCACTCTGCTTCTCTGTCTGTCTGTCTGTCTGTCTATCTATCTATCTATCTATCTATCTGTCTGTCTCTATCTATCTATCTGTCTGTGTCTATCTGTCTGTCTGTATCTAATCTGTCTGTCTATCTGTCTGTCTGTCTATCTATCTATCTATCTATCTATCTATCGTATACTATGCTTTTTTGAGCCTTCCAGCACAGTATTAATATGCACAAACAATTTAAAATTCATTGGTCAAAAGTTATGGAGAGCCTGCATCTTATCAGTTGATATGTAAATTAGTAAGATTGCTTTATGCACTTGAGTTCTTACATGCAATAAAATAATCTTCCATGCATGCAGATGTTATCTTAGACTCTGTCGTTTGTAAATAATACTAATTCATCTTAGTATGTAATTGCATTGATGTACTGTGTAGCCTTCATTCTAAAGAGTTATTGACATATTTTCAGCACGTTATTAGATATTCTTGTCTGAAACAATGATCTACTTGCCGGACTTCACTATCTTTTGACGTCTATTTTCAAATGGTAATGAAATGCGTCTCACTTTGTGTTAATTAAAACTCAGCGGACATGTTCATGGTTGCCAGGCAGTAATCAAGAGCAGCGCTGCTTCCTAATGCTAATCATTGGAAATCAATGGTCGGCGTCCAAGAGGAGCCTCCATCTGTCTCTGCTGGCATCTCGCGTACATCACAGAGACCATCGTCTATGCAACATTAGCCTGCAAATGGAGCTCCTCGACTCCATCCCCACAATGTAGGACAAAAAGATCTTGCTTGTGCAGAAACCGATGCCTAATATTCGTAAGTTAGCCATCTTAAGCGAATCAACGTCGTTATGTGTCACGTTGAGTCATTTTATTATCTGCAGTGCGAGCCATAAACGTTAAACTAGCCTACGTTTAGACATAATGTTTTAAAAGCGTGCCGGATTTTATATGAATTCAATGTGTCATCATTATTCTAACTTTTTCACAACACTTCAACTTAAAGGCACAATATGTAAGATTTTGTTATTAAAATATCCAAAAACCACTAGAACAGTTTTATATATTTTGCTGACTTGTGTACTTACATTATCCCAAATGTTTCGAAAAATGTTTAAATCCAGAGAAATAAGCAATTTTAACTAGTGACACGGACCGTGTCTATAGTGTCATTGTGTTGCCTGCCAATGACGTCATACACCCTCGATTTCCGGTTTTGTTTTGTAGAAAACATGAAACACCAAAGACGCTTTAATATGCTATGCATTTTATTAGACGGGTGACGACCGCACAGAGTAGCATTATAACAGAACGTTCAAATGTATCTAGTATGATAAAACAGCGCTGCTTACTTCCGCTGCTTTCCAGAAGGAGCAGAAGCGGTCGACTGTGGCATAATAAAAGCTCTGCTGCTTTCGAGCCGTGTGTCGCGCTCGTTCAGCGGCCTCGTTTTGCTTTGACGGCTTTCCGCCTCACTCTGCTTCATACTACGACGTTAATAAATCTTTAATACATTAGCTAATCCATGAACATGATTTCTGCCCGAGTCCCATCGGATTGCTTCGGCTGTGGGGATGAAGACGACAACACCCATGATTCCACACTCAGTCACGGCGTCATCTAACTACGCCTTTGTTTCTTTGTTTGTTTTGAATACGCGCCCTCCAGTGGCAAAAAAATTACATATTGTACCTTTAAGTGTAAATGTAGAGAAAATGGATACTTTTGCTTGTTTCCTGCTTTAGATGGTTCTTCTATGAAAAAGCCCCAGTAACCTCATGTGTCTCAGATAAAATTTCAAAAACTGTTGAAACTTACATTTAAATTCAAGAGATTTCAGTGAAAGCCATTCATAATTAAAGTCTTCACATTCATGTTATAGCTCTGTACTCTTAATTTATGTCAGTAAATGTCTCATCTGTTTTATATTGCTCCAAATGGGTTTTTGGAGAAACATCTGATTCAGATTAAAATAAAATATAATTTAGAAATCTCTTTAGCTGTAAATGAGCTAATCCTGCATAGTAATATATCCTTCTTGTTAGTGTGAAGTATATGTACATCTGTTTCTTTGTAGGTCAATGGTCGAGAGGTTCCAGGTCCATTGTTTGATTTTGGTCTGCTGATGTTTCATAATGCAAAACTAATTCTTCAAAACCAGAGTGGCCCTTTTTTCTACTTGTCCAAGGTCAGTGTCAGATCACATCACTCTGTTTACCAGGACAGAAATTCAATGTAGAATCAAACATATCCTAGAAAATCTTAATGATATGTTGTGCAGGTTGAGAGCTACATGGAGGCCAGACTCTGGAGTCAGATTTTTTTCTGGACTGAGAAGAAGGTGCGAGTGTTGACAGAGATTACATGTGACCCCAGTGCAGTTTTAACTACCATGAATTTTATTTCTAATGTATTCTGAATTATTTTGTAGCTTGGCCTGCCAGCGGGCTGCATAAAGGCCACTGTGTTGATCGAGTGTGTCCTGGCATCGTTCGAGATGGAGGAGATTTTGTACGAGCTCAAGGAGCACTCTGCTGGTCTAAACTGTGGCATCTGGGATTATTCAGCTTCCTTTGTCAACAAATTTGGTCAGCGCATACATTTTCTGCAAGTTCGACTAGTAGACTCAGTCACATTCCTCGATAGTGACAATGGTTGCTTTATAGGTCATCGGGCTGATTTCCTCCTCCCTGATCGCAGTAAATATGTAGATATGGAGAAGCGTTTCCTGCACAGCTACATGGATCTTCTAGTGCAGACGTGTCACCGCAGGGGTGCCCTAGCAACAGGTGGCATGGCAGCATTGCTGTTGCCTGGAGACAAAGAGAGTGACCTCTACAAGACTGCACTCAGAACTGTCACCAGGCAAGACGCAACCAGATTAGATAAAAGCTCTGTGGTGATTTGAATCCAACCCATAATTGCAATCAAAATATAGTGGCACATAATTTTAAATCCCAATATTACAGTGGCCAAGTAGTGCACAACACAACAAAATCTCCACAATGGAAACAAGCCGCAATACAACGGAATAAGCACAACACAACGGAAACAAGGCACAACACAATGAAATTAGTCCTATGCGTTGTGTTGTAGTGATTTCTTTGTGTTGCGCACTACTGGGCCACCGAACATATGGCAGCTCAACCATTTATGGTTCTGTATTTGTTTTCCATATAAATTATCATTCTTGTGTTATTTTAGACTTAAATTACTGGAGATCAAAGCAGGAGTTGATGGGTTCATGGTCTACGACATGGACCTGATTGAACCCATGCAAAAAGTAAGTGTCACACATAAGTTGTTCATTTCTGTCTGGTCATTGATAGACTTCCCCATAACAGCACTTGCATATATGTATATAAAAACATAATTTCTCTCTCTCACACAGCTGTTTCAGCTTCACTCTCATGGTCAGAATCAACTCCTGCAGCTTCGTGAAGACATCACTGTGACCCCTGAAGACTTGCTCATTATGCCTGCGGTCAGTTGAATTCTATCACTGCAAATCATGTTAACGGTATAATAAATGTGTGGTGAGTGTAAATGCTGTTGCCTTTATATTGTGTGCTTTATATCTCCATAGGGAGGAGTAACACAGTACGGACTGAGATATAACATTGCTGTAGGTGTCCTCTTCATTGAAGCCTGGCTTTCAGGTGCAAAACTTTATTTCACGAATGACTTTTTATACAACATTTTTATGCTATGTGATGAATGGAGGTTTTATTGATATTGACTTTGTACAACAGGCAGAGGTAATTTCTTCTATCTGGGGAAGGTTGAGGATTCAGCAACAGCAGAGATATCCAGATCTCAGGTTGGTTCACTCAAAGCTCACATGCTACAATATAATATTATCTCTTATTCTAAGAGGCTGCATTTGTAAGGTTTGGCAGTGGATTCGGCACCAAGTGAGATTGGAGGATGATGGGACGGTAGTGACCCGAGCTCTTGTCAGCAGTTTGGTTGAAGGTCTGATGGAAGATCTGAAAGCAGCCATACATTGCCAAACAAGCAGGTAAAGAATGCTGTACCGATGCTTCATATATTGAATAGAGAAAACATTTGTTGGAACGTGCACTTGAACAAGACATAGTGACCACAAAATGAAGTGGGATTCACACAGCAAAAGACCATGCATTACAGTGATTTTACCACAGTTACAGAATGTTCTTGTAGATGGTATGAAGAAATCATTGTTCAGTAGTTCAGTGAATAATAAAATTCCTCAATTACTATCTATATATCTATATCTATATCTATCTATCTATATATATATTTCTGCCATGACAACTCTCGGAGAGTTTAGCATGGTAATATACATGGCAATGTCAATGTGTTTGGTCTTGGCAGAATAGATCTGCCACGCTGCTGCTGCAGAGCAAGTACCAAGACTTGCTACTGCCAGGTTTCACAATTTGAGTTGAATTACTGAAATAAATGAACTTTTCCATGACATTCTAATTTATTGAGATGCACCTTGGCAACTAACTGAAATACATTAAAGTTCTAACTTAAATAAAATAAAATAATAAAAATGACTAAAAAAATATTAAAACGTATAAACTAAAATTAAAACATATATATGGCACCTCTGTGATTGCCCAAGAGCTCACATTGAGAAACACTGACCTTTTCTCTATTTCCACTCTTTTTAGGGACAAACAGAGGTTGATGACTGCTGTGTCCATGTTTCTAGAAATAGTGCAGAAGAATGATTTCCCAGAGTTCCTTACCACATACCTTAACCTGGACCACACTTTCCTCAGCTCTCAGAGCCAACATGAGAACCGACAGACAGACGCGGCGCCCAAAGCCAGACTCTAACAAGTCTAAATTACTTCATCACAAACAAAATATTACATCCACGAACGCTTGTCTTAACATGTGAATACATGAAAGATGGTTTATAATGTCTAAAAAAGGATAGGAAATTTACTTCAATTTACCTATAGCACAGTGGTTCTCAACCAGGAGACCTAATGATGACTCATAAGCCAAAACAACTTTAAATCAATCAAGATAAGAAAAAAAAAACTGGTTATATGAGGAAGCGTAATTAATAAAAAGGGAAAGGAAAAAAGATATTTAGACCTGGAAAAATAATAGAAATTAATACATTTGTAAAACTACTATAATGACTAATAACTACAAGCTATGACAGTTCTAAAATAGTTACAGGGTAGAAATTCTGAGTACAAAATTCTTATCCTTAATTTTTATCCAGGTAATCACAAACAACTGGAAAAATCTGAATATTGGGCATGGATTAAAATGTTGAGAACCACTACTATTGCACAGGAATCAAGGCTGTAATATATTTGAATATATTTTAAAGTAATCTTATTGATAAATAACCAATAAAAGTAAAGCCCAAATGAGTAAAGTCAAAATAAATATTTATAAAGGTACAAACTCTAGCTCTTTTCACCAGCAAATGTTTGGTTTAACTTTAGCAAAGTTCTTGAGTTCTGTATTTTCTAAAAGATGAAACTGTTACATCATACAGTGTAACCAAAACCAAATGTGAAAATTAAAAAACAAGAGAAATACATCACAGTCATGTTATTTTGTTTTATTTGTAACTGTGTGAGTGTCAAATGACAGAACATGTTCTCAGAATTCAGACAGTGGTATGTTTGATGGAGTCCTGTATTATGGGGAAAAAAAAATCATAAACAAAGCAGAAAGTTTGAAACCAACATGAGACACCAAACAGTGAGTGGGAGAAAAAAATAAAAGATGCCAAACAAACCCAACAGAAACAGTCACAGTAAAAGTCCTACAGGTCCAACAGATGCCACTGCCGCCTCTAAGACATTCACTGGAAAACCGAAAGGCAGCAGAGGATGAAAGAGAAAAAATAACAAAATAAAGAGATGCACATCTGCCTCTCATCGGCACTCCAGGTGACCTTTCAATCGACTGTTATCAGCTTATTGGCTGAACATCAGTGTCTCCTCTCCCAGCAGACATGGAGGGTTTTCACTGCTGGCTCCCCTTGGTGGCTGATCCTGGAACAGTTTCTGCCCAGCCACATTAATTCAGTGCCACACACTCCCCACACCCCCAACCCCCCTTCCCACGTACCCTCGCAAACAGGTGCCGTCATCTGCATCTAAATGTCCGCCCCACAGGTTTGGCACACGACCACGCAAGTCAAACCAGGACCAAAAGTATTGCTCCTCCTGATATTATTCGGTTCTTTTTAATATTATCTTATATAAATTACTCTTAAAAACATGTTAAGCAAGATGCATGTGTCAGATAAACAGGAATTAGGCCCAATGAGTTCACTGTGACCATCTTGATCAATCTCTCTCTTTAATACCGTGTATTCTGTTCTAGCATAAGAGACGCCATTGGCTTTTTTTTTTTTTTTTTTTTAAAAGCAAAACAAGATAGAAAGTAGAAAAAAAAAAAATTGTAAAACAGGTTTTTCCCCTATTGCTCGCTCGCTTCCGTGAGTGGAAAAGAAGGTAACCATGGTCTCATTGGTGCAGTAGAGTCTCAACCTCAGTGGAGCGTCTGGTCTCAAAATGCTGACGCCATAAAACGGCTACCCTGCTCCCTTCCTGAAACGCTCACATCTCATTGGGCATGTCCTCGTGGTCACAGGGGGACAGGTCTCCATTGGTGGTCACCGCAGAGTTGTCCTGGTAACTGGGGGGCATGAAGGTTAAAGCATAGGGATAGATACCATGGCAAGACGCACGGTACGATTCGAGAATTTTCTCCTGCTGCGAGCCCAGACTGCCATCCCTTAACGCCTGGAGCACCTCGGTACACGTCTGATATTCACACATACAAATATGAGAGATGTAGCATCATGCTTTTTGTGAGAAATATCACAATTTTATTCGGTTCTGTTTATGGTTATTGTACCTGAATGGTTCTGCCTGTTAGGGACTCATTCAAGGAGGTAGCCAGCTCGGCAGCCATCCCCTCAGAGGAGGGGTCCAGAAAGACCATCATCTTAGCAGCTGCATACAACAAAAAGGTAAGATGCTAAATGAACAGCTAAAAGAATGTAGTGGTACACTCATGCTAAAGGGTTTCACAGCAACAAAGCAATCAGAAGTCATTCATATCTGGTCACTTGAGTGAAAGTGGCCATTGGTGTAGTTCAAATTTATGAGCAGCAATGTGATTGAACAATCACCAAAGAGACTGCAGACAGTGATCTGCTTTCTGAAATGGTCTGATACAGGAACCCAGTAGAAACACCAAAGAGCAACCAACAGTACAGTGAGACTGTGACCTCTAGTGACTTAATTTTTTCAAATGTGACCAAACCTTTAATGGTGGAATCCTTTAATCTCTTGATTAAATGACTGGGTAATATTTTATGCAAAAATAGCTATTAAAATTCAAATAAATAATATCTTGCATAATGAAAACAAGGGCATGGAATGAAACGTTTAAGCAACAAGAATGGTTTGGCCCGACGGTGGGAAAGCGGCTTTAGAATTGAATCACAAATATGACTCAGTCTTCATAAGATATACAGTGGGTACGGAAAGTATTCAGACCCCCTTAAATTTTTCACTCTTTGTTATATTGCAGCCATTTGCTAAAATCATTTAAGTTATTTTTTTTTCCTCATTAATGTACACACAGCACCCCATATTGACAGAAAAACACAGAATCGTTGACATTTTTGCAGATTTATTAAAAAAGAAAAACTGAAATATCACATGGTCCTAAGTATTCAGTGTTAAGAAAACAAAACTATATATTTTTTCCAAAAAGCAAGGATGGACCTCTAAAGTTTGAATATGGTTTGTGTGCATGACTCTACCATTGTCGGCCTGCGACTCCTTGTTGTCATCGGAGAGCGGGTTATCATGAAGGCTGAGGTAGATCTCGATGGCTGTACGTGCTGCCTTGAAGTAAAAAGGGTGCATACGCAACACGTCCTCTAGATTGAGCAAATCGACGTAAGAACGCAACGTCATCTTCCGCATACAGTATGTGTGGAAGTCGAACTGGTCGTCTGTTATCTCCACAAAATGCTGTTAACAACAAAAGATGAAAGTGTCAGGATATTTCAGACCATTGGGTATTTATTTATGATTTAATGCCATGTCAGCAGCAATGGCTATATTCATGGTAAAAACAATTCTATTGCATCACTCAATCAATATCAGCCTACAGATATAGCATAGAGCTATTCATGTCAGTTTGCGAACTACAGCTAAAATTAACATCTGATAGTATCTAATTCTGCAAGATTTACCCTCTCAATTTCATGGCACTTCTTCAGCGCCTCTCCATATTTGTTCAAGGACTTGTAGGCCAGAGCACACTCCGTCTGGAACCACATGCACTGCATCTCATTCAGATTCTCTACAGCAGAGGTTCCTTCCTGCAGGTGATAGAGATTGGATACATTCAGACTGATGTGTTTTTGATAATGACTCTTGGAAAAATTAATGTGAGAGATTAAAAGGTCATTATGGAAATTGTAGGGCATGTAGTAAGTCCCAAATTTCAATTACAAGGGACAAGTGAATTATTGCTTAAACCGTTAATTTGTCAGTTTTTGCGCAAAAATGCACTGAAAAAACGGAAAAGGCGTTTTTGGTCAAAGGAGGAAAAAAATGTTACTGCTTTCAATGCTCCTAAAATGTAATGTTAACCAACATGTTACTATTTCAGTCTTTCTGGAGCTGAACATGCAAGCCAAGAAAACGGCTGCCAGAGGCAATGCCTCCAAATGAACAGATTTGTCTTTTAAAAGGACTTTATATAGGAACTAAAATAACACACCACCATTCAAAAGTTTGGGGGCAGTAAGATAAAAAAAAAAAAAGTTTCTCTTGTGCTCATCAAGGCTGCATTTATTTGATAAAAAAATGCAACAAAAACCGTAATATTGACTATTAACTGTTTTAAATTTTAATATATTTAAAGGAGACATATTATGCCCCTTTTTACAATATGTAATATAAGTCTCTAGTGTCCCCAGAATGTGTCTGTGACGTTTCAGCTCAAAATACTCCACAGATCATTTATTATAACATTTTGAAAATGCCTATTTTGAGTGGACGTAGAAACATGCTGTTTTTCGGGACTGTTTCTTTAAATGCAAATGAGCTGCTGCTCCCCGCCCCCTTTTCCAGAATAGAGCTACCCCATTACAGTTTGGACCAGCTAAAACATCTGTTTTGGTTCTGATTATCATGTTTATCGCGCTGAAATCATGTGTTTTAAACCATATGAGTTTAAACGTAGCCAAAGGCAGAACAGTTAGCATGTTTTGCTCAAACATTCGCCATGGCATTAGAACTGGTACACCATTGTTGCTTGCAAAATCAAAATGACGGCGGCGTGGGTGGAAACTTACAGATTAAGGGGCGGTATTATTATAATGAGATCCCTTTGCCACGTCACCAAGGGAGCGAAATCAGACACGCTCGTTTTTTCAGACGCTTGCAGAAAAAGGCTTACCAAAACGAAGTTACTGGGTTAAAACTTTTCACGTTTCCTTGGTTGGTTGATGCACCAGGGACCTGATTATAGCACTTTAAACCTGGAAAAGTCAGATTTTAATGATATGTCACCTTTAAAAATTTCATTTATTTCTGTGATGGCAAAGGTGAATTTTTAAGCAGCCGTTACTCCAGTCTTCAGTGTCACGTGATCTTCGGAAATCATTCTAATATGCTGATTTAGTGCTCAAAAACATTTCTTAATTTAAAATAGAAACCTTTTGCAACATTATACAAGTCTTTACTGTTACTTTTGATCATTTTAATGCACTCTTACTGAATAAAATTATTAAATTCTTTTAAAAATCTGACCATTTAACCCATACTATATATGTAATAATAACTGGTGTTATTTTAAGTGCGTTCTCACAAGCATGTGACCTTCACCATACTAACCCGTGTGAACTTGGAACACATCTCTTCAGCCTCTTTGATAAGTCCAGCCTTGAGCAAATACTTGGCACACTTGGAGTTGATGAAACGGTCAGCAGTGTCCAGAGCCTGGGCCTCATCCATCCAGCGAGCAGCTTCACGGATGTTACCCGCATGCTTTCAAGAGAACAAGACATGGAAAATAAAGTTACTCTCTCATGTTCTATTTAATGGTTTCTATCTTGAGAACATTCTGAAAATGTAAAAGTGTCTCATTTCTTTTACGTCAAACTGTTTCACGACGTGAGTGTGCTTCACCTTATATATCTTCGCCTTGATGAGGAAGAGCTCTATGAGGGTGGGGGTGCTTTCGATGGCTGTGTTGATGTACTCGAGGGCAAGAGTCTGTTTGCCGATATGGTTGAAATGCTGGGCCAGGAAATACTGAACCCACAGTAAAGTAGTGGGCGGCTCCGTTTTCCCATCATCTACAAATTCAGCAACACATGTCCACAGTGAGAACTTTGGCACCACTGTCATCCGTCATTAAAATCTGTTTACATCAGGGTTCCTCAAATCTTGCCCTGGAGGGCCAATGCGCTGCAGAGTTTAGCTCCAACCCTGATCAATGTGTTTGATTAGGGTTAGAGCTAAACTCTGCAGGAAAGTGGATCTCGTGGGCCAGATTTGAGGATCCCTGGTTTACATGTACTCACCATTTTGGTTGAACATTTTACAAGTTCTCAAACTTTTTTCATAGCCCACAACTAATTCCTCAATTATTGCTACCTGCAGAAGACAGGAACATGTTATAAAAATGGTGTCTGTTCTTAAATGTTAAAGTCCAGAAGAAACTTCTACACATTTTGTTGGTTATAATGCCCCGTCTCACATTGTCTTTTTGATGGCAGAGTGATTTCAGTGTGGTAAAGACAGGCGGGCATCCTTTGCTGAAGTTCATCCTCAGGTAGCGATCCAAACACTCTCTAAACTTCTCACCTGCGAGAGCCAAATGCGGTCATATACACAGACACATTATGAGAGCGTAACACTTCTATTGATTTGACAAGACTGGCGCTGACCTGTGAGGAAGTTGAGAGGAAGTCTTCTTGGCACCAGGCCTTTAGGATACTTAACCCAGGCATCTTCATAGATTTTCTGCTTCTCCTCGACACTCTCTGAAAGCAGACATCGAGTAAGGGACTAATAGAAATTAAAACCAGCCAAGATTTGCTGTGTTCAGAAGAATGTGCAGTTACTTGGTTTGAGTGCTTTCTCTAGCCCTTGATAGTAGCTCCAGTTCTCAGGGTTTCTCTCCAGCAGTCGGTGGTAGACCTCCGTAGCTTCACCAGCCCGATCTAACTTGAGAAGCAGCTCTCCTACACACATACCAACATACGTTGCTTTTAAAAACGGTGACACCAGACGATAAACAAATTCATGACACACATATGGATGCCAAAATCAGAGATATAAAATTAATATTAAAATTCTGTTTAATTTTGTTTAATGCAAAAATTAATTTCCATTCAAAAGTTTAGAGTCAGTCATTTTTTAAAAAAGAAATTAATACAAGGACACATTAAATTTATGAAAATTGGCATCACATGTATAATGTTACAAAATATTTATATTGCAAATAAATGCTGTTCTTGTAAACTTTCTATTCATCGATCAATTTCATCCTAAAAATGTATCAGTTTCCACATATTCATAGAAGTTTTCATCATTAATAATAAGAAATGTTTTTTGAGCAGCAAATCAGTAAATGCAGCCTTGGAAAGCATTAGAGCCTGCTTCCAAAAACATTATGAAATCTGACCCACCCCAAAAGTTCAACTGTAGTTCAATTTAAATGCTATAAGTGAATTTCAGCATCATAACATTAAATTGTTCAGCATTAAAATGTGAATATTCATTCTGAGATTTGCTAAAGATTTAACAGTGTTATTATATTAATGTTTGTTTTAAATATAAACTAAGTGAGCATTAGATGACAGCAAATTAAAGTAAATGCAAAAAAACGGAAACATGAGAATGCACAGATAATCATCAAATCAGCCATAAAAAAAGAAACCCTCTAATATCAGGCGATAACCAATATATATGCATACAAAAAAAAACACACCTCGTGTCTCCTCTACAGCCAGTTTGTCACATATCTGTTTTTCATAGTTGGTCAGGTGATCGAGGGCTTCTTTGTTAAGCCCGGCCTCCCTCAACAGCTGATTCTGATAAAGCAACAGCTCACTGTACTCGTAATCCACTTTATCTGGAGACGTCTGAAACACAATCAACAACAAACCTCAGTGGCATCCAAAAACAAACACTTCGTGGTATCCCCTACTAAGCTGTCTGCAACAATAAACTTAGTGTAGATGACAACTTACAGGAAGCAGTGAAAATAATACCTGTTGTGTTTTGCGGAACTCCTCCACGATCTTAGCTGCCATCTCATAATCTTCCAGAAGGTGGTACGCGATGGCATAACCGATCCAGGAGGCTCTTTGAGCCGGTCGCAACTGCAGTAACTGGTACCTGGTCTCCTGTGAGAGAGAAAATGTTACAAATAATATTATGACCATAACAATTTGAGTGATAGAAGGATTTTAGGGGAAAAAAAACAGTATTTTTATTGGCTTGTTCCATGGAACATTGTAGTTTCTTGACACATGGAAGCACTTAACATTCAAAATAACTTACCCTGTAACCTTCGAGGTCCCTCATTTGGATCTGCAGCAGTGAGAGATCTCTGAGGATTTGCAGATTGTCTTTGTCCCATTTAAGAGCATTCCTGTAGCACTTGATGGCCTCGTCATACTTCTTATCCGAGCGCTGAAGCAAACCATAAACGTGCCAACCTGAAGAAGAGTTAAGGACAGGAAACAGCTCTGCACCTAGGGCTGTACGATTTGGTGGGAAAATAATCAAATGACTACTTTTATGACCAAAATTGTGACTGTGATTTAAAATGCGAAGTTCGAAAAGTATAAAAAGCTCCAGGTTTGCTGTGCTTGTTTGTAGAGCTGCACAATTTGGCCCAAAATGTTGTGATTATATCATATAATTTTGATATAATATTTTGTGATTGTACAGTATTTTTTTTTTTATAAATAATTTTAAAAAAGCACATATGTATTTAATTAAATCACAGCCCTTGCAATTTGACTAGGCCATGATGGTTTTATTTTGATTAATCGTGTTGTACTAACTGCACCTATTCATTAAATTACACCGTGACGTTATCTGTCCTGTACAGTTGCCAGACATCTGAGAATAAGAGTCAAAAAATACCTTAAAGTGTAAGTCAATCACTAACAGTTTGATACAGAAATTACTTCTTTTGACAATGCTTATTTATGAATCCACTGACAGTGGAAAAAGTGTTAAGGATACAGACATGACTCTTCAGATCGTTTCGTAAGCCACGTCGCACTAGGTCATACGCCTCCTCCTTTCGGCCCAAGCAGTTCAGAGTCAGTCCTTTCATTGCAAGGGTCTCTGCAAGATGGAAAAAAAAAAATCATTGTGTGCTCAACAAATTTAATTAGTCAAAATGATGAGAAACTGAAGTAATGAATGTCCGAGAATGGTCTTACCTCCATGTTCAGCGAACTTCTGGTTGGACAGGATCTGTTTGCAAAACTTGAGCCCATTTCTGTACTGCTTGTGTTCGTAGCATCTCTGCAAGACATAAAATGGAAAAAGCACGCTAATAATTACACTTTCACTGCACATTAGGCAAAATGAAAGTAGGGTTAAGGTGTGTGGTTAGCGATGTACATCTTCCTAACACTTCAAACCACACAGAAAGTAAGTGTGACACACGTAACAATTCCAATTACAAAATCAGGACACTCAGTGTGTTATACAAGTGTGAATCACCTTGGGACTATGTAGAAGACACACAAAGGCTAAAGGAGTTCACAAACTCCTGCAAAGACATGAGCTGGATAATCAAGATATCAATGCCAGAAAAGAATCAGAGAAGAAAGCCGCACCTCCTGTCACAACGTTCCCCTTAATGATCTGCTGCTTAAGGCTGGAATACGCTACACGACTTTTAAAATCTGAACAGATTTTGAAACACTAGGCATCATACACTTACCGACTTTTTAAACAGTCACTGAGGTCATACACTAGGGTTGTGACGGTGAGGAAATTTTCCCACCGGTTAATCGACGTGACAACACCGGTATCACCGCGGGGGCGTTCCCTCTTTTCCTTTCTGTGCACATTTTACTTTCACTTTTAAATAGCGGCAATTCGGCGTAAAGCAATTGTTCGTTTTTAGTTCGTTTGAATTTCCCCTCTTTTCCTCGCTTTCCTTCACTTTTAAATAGCTTAAACGCAGCAAACACTGTGGAACCAATTAAATAAGAAACGAATGTTTAAAAAAACTTCCAAAATCACCTTAGATAAACGGCAAAAGTCAACAGGCTTTTCAAAATATTGCCAAACAGGCGCTTTTGCATCTCGTTTCGAAACTAAATCATCCGCGATCGTCTTGTCTGTCTCATTTCACCTCACTCTTCTTGTCAGTCAGCTCTCCTCACTCTCCTCACTGGATAAATGAAATCTGATCGGTCATGCGACTGTCATTCGGCATGCTGCATTGAGCAGCCGCGTTCAGTTTTTAATTGTAGTGTCTGTTCTTTTACTGAACTAAATGATTTTTATTACTATAAAAAATCAAAACGACAGTGGGGGTCGGTGCCGCAGTGGGCAAGTGACATAATATCACCGTCAGCACCGTCTATCACGGCAAGCCTATCATACACTACCAGACTTTCAAGTCGTTCTGATCACAACAAACTCACGCAGAAACGTGCTCCACAATGTGTCTTCTAAAATCGGCTGAAAATATCAAACATGTTGGATATTCTCCAACTGATTGGAATCATAGTCTGAAGCTAAAAAAAATCGGAGACTGTGACTACCATACACTGCACGATTTTCTGTCAAGTCAAATCTGCAGACTAGCTCTGACGTTTGGCAACTAGCGTCAATTGTTCAAACTATAAATTCGGGGGGGGGGTATTCCAGCCTTTACTAATGCAACTCTTATTAAAGTAGTTCACAATACTGCTAAAACGCCCATGGCAGGTTCAGAAAAAAGGCTATGATGGTGAGATGTTGATTACAAACAGATTCCAATCTACTTTGGTCACCACAACAGTTTAGACATCCCAGGAGAGCTGTCTGCCAAATATCAACATAACAGTAACGTGAAGGAATACCCTCTGGCATAATCATGTTTAAGGGACAGACATCTTTAGGCACTGCTGTTGGCATTGTTATCATGACTGAAATGTAATGTGTGAGTCTAAGAAATTAAATCACAATAAGGCCTTCTAGCAATTTAAGCTCCCTCCCTGTGACAGAACAGAAACAGATGTTAGAAAACACAAATAAACCAACGTCAGATGACTTTGAATTTCTAACTCTGTATTCTGGAATAACAAAAATCAGGACTGTCTAACAATCAGTAAGAACAACCATTTGAGGCCATTTCATGACTGGTCATTAATACACATTACTAATTAATAGCAATGACTGGGCAAGTTGCTGTTGAGTCACTATGACCTAAAAACTACTTCTTAAAGCACAAAGATTTTCATAACAACAAAAGTTCATCATTTGGATGTTTAAAATGTTTTCTAATTGTTCACTATCAGAGTAGGCATTTTACCAGCTGTGTCCAAACTACCCAAAAGCATGATCATAGGCCTAAATGTTGTCTAGGCAGACAGCTAACCAGGTTTTGAGACACAGCCAACCCATCAAGCTAGTCTATCTCCCAAAGTACGTTCCCTTTTGGTTTCTGTGTGAACTTGATCAATTAAACCTGTATTTTGTGGCATAATCTTATTAAAGTCTCTGTGTAATCACAAAGTTTTGCAGCTTTTAGTAAAAGCTTTGCTACATGCTAGTGTCAGCATATAACACACATTATATGCTAGTGTGCTACTATATGTTGACAAATTTAGAGTTTAACTGTTATTAAATCTCAGTAACAGTGTATTTATTCAACACAATATATCCAGTATATTAAATAATCAATATTAATTGACCCATCTTGCATTACACCCACTTTTGTCCGATCAAAAGCTTTCCAGAATGATAATGTCCCTCCCTTGACATGACTAACAAATCATGATTCATGAACTAAAGCTTCTATTTTCATTTTTTTTGTAAATACAATTTAATGATAGTTAATGTTAAATGCATGATTTGTCCGGTTAGCATCTGACAGCAGATTTGAGGCGTAGATGATGTATAATGATGTACATAAATCATAACATGTGTAAACAACACACTAACGTAACTATTACAACACTGCCTTCGTATGTTTCATACTCTATTATTTTGAGGTTAGTGTTGCTTTAGATTAACTGTCATTCTGTTCACTTGTACGGTGACTAATCGATTCAACCCCGTGTTTTGACGGAGCACTCAAACAACACGTTGTTACTGCTGCAAATTTATAAAGCGACTTTGTAGCATCGTTTAATGTTTATTCCGTCCACACAGCTATCAAATCACTGAGCTTTGCGCTTAACTTTCTAAGGCAGTTAGCTGCTCTGTGTCAGGCAAGTTCATCTGCTCTCAAAGTGCGTGAACGTGCATGAGCTAATAGTCATGTTGCGAGTATTAAAGCAATGCCAATGCTCTCTTGTTAGCTTGCAAAAGACTCCTAGGAGGTTTCTCTTGAGGTCAGCGGAGAGAGATCTTGGCTAAAATAGGAAGGGGGTTGACACACGCTTGCTTTCTATTATTAACAATCCTGCGTTCGTTAGCAGATATATTTCCCCCAACTTACCAATATTCTCTTAAAGAGAGCGTTCTCCTTCGGCGGCAGAGTTACCGAGGGCATGCTTCTTCTTCTTCTTGAGTACTGATCACCGTGACTTTGCTCTGATCATGAATCGGAATCCTCGATCCTCTGGCCGGATTGTCTGCCGTATCGTAAAAGCCCCCCGAACTTCGCTGTCTGGGGCTTCTCGTCTTCACGTGGTGACAGCAGGCCCCCCTTCAGAACCAAAATGGCGACGCTGCTTCTCCCCGGGTCAAGCGGTGAACTGCGCATGCGCTGAGTGTGCGGCATTTCCGAGGCGGGGATCTTCTTCTTCTTCTTCTTCTTTAAATTTTATTGGCGGTTGGCAAACCAACTTAAAGGTGCATTTACCGCCACCTACTGGACTGGAGTGTGGGCAGTACTTTGAAACAAAAGAGAGGAAAGGAAAAAAAAAATTTAAAAAATTAAAATAAAAAATTATATACATATCCCCCCCCCCCATATATTTCTATTAAATTCTTTCACTTATCCCAGTATTTTTCAAATAATTCATTAGGAGACTATGTACTTCCCTAGACATTGTTTCTCCTAGCAGGTTTCCCACTGTCATGTTTTGCTTTCCAACTTGTGTTTCTAACTCCCTTCTTTCTTCTTCATACCTTTTACAATCTAATAAAATATGTTTTACTGTCTCTTGTGTGTTGCAGTGGTCGCAAAGACCAGTGGGGTGTTTTCCTATTCTCTGTAATGTAAAGTTCAAACCAGCATGACCTATTCTAAGACGTGTAATTATCTTTCCTTCCTTTGGATTCCTGCTCTGCCTAATACTATTTAAGCCTACTTGTTTTTGTATGTTATACAGATGTCGTCCAGTATCAGTTATGTCCCAGTATTCTTGCCATATTTTGTTTGTATGTCCCTTAATAATGGTTTTGATTTCTGTTCTACATAACGGTATTTGTATATCAACTGTTTCATGCTTTATTGCTCCTCTTGCCAGAATATCTACAATCTCATTTCCTTCCACCCCTACATGAGCAGGAACCCAAAGGAAGGAAACATCCAGCCCTTTATCATACAGTATTAAAAGCAAGTTGAATATCTGGTATATGATATCTTGTCTACATGATGTTT